TTACGGTAATATTGTACTAAAAGCGCCGAAATCACTATGTGATCCGTGTAAACTCATCGCACCTTTGAACAAATTTATTAGTAAAGGTTATCTTAATAATGTTGTAATAAAATCTTTGAATATTGTTTACATTGGCACAAATATCGATTTTGTCATCAAAAAATTAAAACATGACTAAATTTGTATTCTTTTTGAATGTTTTTTTGGATGTATAAATACACATCCACGTTCATTTTCCATATAGAGATTGCTTTATCTATATATTATAACATGATACATATTTATTATAAGGTTAAATCCAAACTATCCTACTGCCTGTACCAAGTCAGGAATATGACAGTTGTTATCCATTCGTTTGATGTGTTTGAACTTTTGATTTTGCCATTTGATTGGGGACTTTCCTTTTTGAATTTTCCTCGGAGTTCAGTATTTTTGTGATTTTACTTTTCGATACTTTAATTTTGACATTGCACAAGTCATGTCTTCTTTGACTGTCCATGGCGTTAAAACACTAAATCCCTGGGATGTGTTTTAGTTGATTTTAGTCTCTGATGCATGATTTTTTATTATTTGTTGTTTTTTTAACTAGCATTCAGTATCTTCGAGTACTCTCAAATCGTACTTTCCTGTTACAAAATTTGTAATGCATTTGTGTTATTCAATGTTTTCTTATTAAGTATTATATCTCGTCTCACTATTTTTAACATGTACCACCTTTGATAAGTATTTAGTATGACGATAAATTTTCACTGCTGATCTCGTACTATGAATAACAAATTCATTTATTTTGTAAAAACTATCTCCGTACTCCTAACAACAAAATTATTATATTCAAATTTACCTGTGTACGTTATTTTATTTAACGCCATTTTGTCCAAGGTTATAGTTGTCTTTTTGACATTGTGTCATAGATCAAATTTATTCGTTCAGTGTATGTTTACTTGTTTTAGTTAATATGTCTTTTTGATTGAGTTAATCCATTTCAATTGATATTTTATAGTGTGCCTTTCTAAGTTTTAATATTACACTACTATTTCAGGTTAGGGTGAAGGTTGGTGCCTGTTAAAACGTTTAAACCCGCTGCATTTGTATATAGATGCCTAAGATGTAATTTTAACACGTTAACAAGTGTTATAAAAATATTTGTGCAAACTTTCATCAAATTCATGCTATATTTTGCTATACAAACTGTATTCGTTAAACGTGCAAGATATATGATAGGGAGGCTATGTGGGATGTATTAATACTCAGCCACGAATGGTCGGAATTGGGACGTTCAATCCGATGACTCGTGTTGGGATAGTGTCATGCTCAATTTACGTCAAAGAGCTCATGCAACGATTCCTTGAGAGGTATGCAAGTAGCGTATTGCAAGGCTTAATGTCACCCTTTTCTAAAATACGCTGTTTCTATTGTCAGTATAAGAGAGGCGGTAGATATCAAAGTGATATTCAAACTCATAAGTCGACGACAAACTGACAACCATATGGTTAAACGACCAAAATATAAAAAAAAAAACATATTCTGCCTATCATCTCGGTCCATACACTTGAAAGAATCTGCTTACATTGTATTTGATATATTTATTCATATAGAAATAAGGAGATGTGGTATGCTTGCAATGAGACAACTATCCACCAAAATTCAAATGAAGTGGATGCAATTAATCCGTTTATGCACTGAATATACACATATCATATGGCCAGTAGACGTTACTCAAAATACAATAAATTAATCAATTTTGGAGTGAGCTGAATTATTTAAATGATTATTTTTCATAAAAAATTTTAATTTTTAAAAGTTAACTTAAAAATGTAAAGATTCTTTTTTTGGTTTTAAATAAAAGGGGGTTGTTTACTCGTACGCGTGAAAGTTTGTTTGAGTTTAGCCAACATATTTCAACTTGCTATTTCTACAAGTTATATTTTGTACAATAAGGATACTTTTATTCATTTTTTTTTATTTTTTATACATTAGATAGAGGTCTCAAAGCGGCTTCGTAGTTGTTTTCTTTGTTGGTGTCTATACAGCACTTGCAATTGCTTCTGTCTCGGGGTCTGTATTTTCTTAGTTTAAAAAAAAAACGACAAAGAAGCAATTGTAATAGGTGTAGCATTGTCTGGAATGGGCTATACACTATACAAATATTGAAAACCCGCTTTCCTGGTTTAGATTCATGGATGACGTGATTTGAAATGGAATAAAATTGACCAGGATTTAGATACATATATCTTTGATGCCAATATATCTAAGTATCAAATTTATTCATGAGATATCTATATCTAATATCATAACCATTGATACTTCGAGGCTCTCTAACACTTACATTGTATATGTGCCCCGTCTTTACCTTTACCGTACATTGTCTAGACAGGCTTTTACAGTACATTGTCTTGACAGGCTTTTACCGTACATTGTCTAGACAGGCATTTACCAAACGTTGTCTAGACAGAGAAGGGGATACTCTAAACATAGTTTGCTTTTAAGGATGTTGCTCCTCTGTTTAAAAAAAAAACAAGCCTTTTAAAAGACTATTATAAATTGATAGAATATAAATTAGAGAACTCAAAAATTAGAAAGAAATGATAGGTCCGTGTCTTTGTTTCTGCTATATAATCAATTGAAAATTTGGCGGGAAATGATTCTCTCTAGATTTTTCTTACATTTAACATTAACACCTTTTGTCTTTCAAAAACAATGAAAAATAACAAGGATTTCATAAGATTTTCAAAAATGGAGTTTTAAACTACATGTTATAAAATTATGAAAAGAAAAGTAGGGGTTAGTGGACAAATTTTTTATTAGCACTACATGGATAAAACTAGAGGATTCCGAATATCAGACAAAGAGTCAAAAACAAGAGTAGCGAACATCCTTAACACATTTTGTTCCGGTTTAAGTCATATTATCCAATGAAAAAAAATGAAAACAGCACGTTATAAATTTAATGCGTCCGAAGCTCTTTTCTGGATTTATCTTCATCAGGAACGTTCAAAGCCGAATAGATCTATTTGAAAGCAAAGGATACATGAGAACCAAAACAGTTGAAGATCTATATGATCAAAAGTACCTAAAAATAGCCAAATCCATCTAAGGTCAACTTTGCCCGAGGGATTTGAAACCTCAGTTTCTTTATAATTTCAAAATTTATAAACGGACAATCTTAGAAATGTTTGTTATAAATCATGTCAGTACCGAAGTACTGACATGATTTATAACAAACATTTCTAAGATTGTCCGATTGAGCTGATGATACCCTCGGGGACTATAAGTCCACCAGCAGAGGTATCGACCCAGTGCTGTAAAAAATGAAAACAACACGTTATAAATTTAATGCGTCCGAAGCGCTTTTCTGGATTACCGATTGTCGAAATATCAATCTGGGTCCGGTTTCACGAAGCTATCCTAAGACCTGTCATAAGATATATCTTAGGACATGTCTTATGATCCTCTCATGACTATCTTAGGACATATCTCAGACCTCGCCTCGAAGCTTCTTAGGATGATCTTAGCAAAGATATCCTAAACCTGTCGCAAGAAAAATCATGTAAATGTAGCATGTGTTTCCCATAGATTACTGTAAACGTATTGACTAATATTTCATAATTAGATAATTTGCAAAATTAATATAAAAATAAGTGTAATCTATATAAATAATCTATTAATAATACACCAATACACATATGAAAATTCAAATACAAAATGGAGAAAAAAAAAGAATAGAATGATAACATTTTTTTTTGTACAAGTGAGTTGAATTCAATGTGTCACTGTATCGGTTATAATAAGGTTAGAGGATAAAATCGTGCATTCTGGCTATAAAAACATCAAATGTTCATTGTTGATAAATCATTTTTTAATCCATAAATATTTAGTTATGAGCAGGAAAAGGAGTCCCAATTCACCGAATCAGAGCTATTTCTGCGTTGATTTTGTTGTCGTCGTCTGAGGTGCATTAAAACTACAGCAGCCATATTTGTTTACAACTCATGTTAGGACATCATAACGATGTCTTAATTTATGACTATCCTAAGACCATCATAAGACACCTCTCGTGTAGTCTTAACTTTATGACAACCTTTAAGAGATGTCCTAAGTTAGGACCACTTTGTGAAACCCACATAGGACTAAGATATGTCGTAAGACCACCCTAAGACATGTCTTAGTCCTAAGATAGCTTTGTGAAACTGGCCCCTGTATTCTGTCTTGGAAAATTGGATTTGTTTATTGGTAGCTGTTGTCGCATGGTGCAGTGTCTTTCATTTTTAAGACCTGTTTTATATATGTCATGCGGGTTTTTTTCTTGGTCAGATTTTTGGGGGTAATTAGCTGATTCTGCAGCTGGTTGTAATATTCCGTAGATCCTATTGCTCGTTATTACTTTGTTGTTGTCGTTTCTAAAGCAAAAGCGCAAATTAATTCAATATAATACTCTGCATAAGTAAGAAACTTAAACATTTATAACACTGAACTAAGTCTTTACCTAAGTACAATCACAAATAGAGGAAGGACGACTGAAAATACGAGTACTTATCCGTAAACATTTCACGGAAAATAAAGATAAGGAAGGGGGAATTATATTAAAAACCAGGGCTGATATCCATAAAACCACATAGTTATGATATCAAATCGTAAATACTTGTATTTTTTATTATGTTGTTTCATCTTGAAAAACTGAGTCCTAAGTATTTGTTTTTGCATACAGTGATTTTATAAGCAATGTGTACTTCGTGTAATTAATGCGTTATTTGACTGATAACTAACAGAAATGAATTGTTCAAAGCTGCATTTATTTGCAGTGCATCGGTAAATATGATTTAACTTTGGACATACCTCTTAGATCAAACGTATGTTAGTTAAAGTTAATGAGACATTTACTTTTAATTACTTTGAAAAGTAAAACATAAAGACTTTCAAAACAGAAAAAAAAAATGTGTAATTTATAACACTTCTGCAGGAAATGTATATGCCAGTAAGTACATAAAGTCTAACAGGTTCAGGACGGAATAATTTACAGTCCGAATAAATGTTCAGGTAAATGTTCTTATTTCAAATTTATAGCCATGCAATTTATCACCAACAAATTGTAATGTGATTTTTCTACATAAAAGACATAAAAACTTTTCATGTCATTACTCATTGTCAAGTTAATGTTGTGAATGCTCGTGCTTTTGTCACGGCTCGTGCTGTTATGTTAAATACACAAATATGATTTAAATAGAAATACTAACAAAACATATGACATTATCTTTTTACAAAATGTATTAGACAAACATTTCAATATTTTCTTTTTCAGTAAAACCGTTTCCGAAATATGAAAAACATATATATATCCCTTCTTGCAATGATTAAATTACATTTAACATTGTGGTGTTAGACCATTGGAAACATTTTGAATTTTCTAAAACGTTTCTGGCTTTTTTTCTTTTCTTTTTTGTTTGTTTGTACAATTAATTGAAAAAATCAATTATATAGAGTACACTTTCATGAATATATAAGTCTTGAAAATAAATGAATTTTCGAACCTGACGAATATTCAAATGTATTAGATTGGTACAAAATCAAAATAGTTTAAATTTAGTTTTAATTTGGTGTATAATTATGGCGCAATAATTGTGTTATTTGATTCAGATTCCAACTTACAGTTATTTCCAGATTGTTGTTTTTATCCCGAAAACATTTGCCGAAAGCTCTGACTAAAATGTGAAAATATAGTCTTGGGAATATGATTTATTTATTTGTTGTTATTGGCTTGAACTGGCTTTCAATAACTGCGAGTGGTCTTAGATCGGTACATTGTGTCTTTTCTCTTTATGTTAGTTGAGTTTTTTTTTCGTGTTTAGTGCCAATATGATGAGTCAATTCATTTCCAACTAAGTTTTATAGTTTGTTCTTATGTTGTGCAGGTACACAATTGTCCCATCTTGAATTGTACAATCACAGTACATAGGTCTAGTTCTTTGCCCAAATCTGCAAATTTTGAGACAGATTTGCAATTTATTGGTTACACTGTTTATTTATATAAGGAAAACTAAGTGATTCATTGCATTATCAAAAATGTTTTAACAAATACCAAATATTTGTGTTTTTAGAATCAATTTTTCAAATAAGCCATTTAAGGGAAGTACAAAATTTATACTGGACATATAGGGAAATTTTCATTTTTTACTTGTAGCAAGAAAACAAGTTCGGTGACACCATTTTTTCTTTTTTATTTTCCTAAAATATATTATAAAACCTATCTTCTCATATTTTATTTCAAAATTCTGTCTCATAGATTTATTTTTATGCACAAAAATGTGTTTTTTCACTAACAATCTAAGCAAATTTTGGCAATTTTGAACGACTCGTACCTTGAAAAATAGCGCGGTGACCCATACTTTTTATTATTTTTTTTGAAAAAAGCATAGTAAAATCTTCATTTTGGCAAAGTATAAGAAATTTTGTCATTTTTTTTTCTATACCCCTGAACTATCTTAAGGGGGTGGTTTATTGCCCACAAATATGTTTAACCTCGCCGCGTTATATGTGTGCCTGTCTTAAGTCAGGAGCCTGGAATTCAGTTGTTTGCGTTGATTGCTAGGTGTTATATTTGTTTTTCGTTTATTGTCTTTTTATAAATCAGACCGTTGTTTTTTTTGGTTTTTTTTTTCGTTTGAATTGTTTCAGTTTTTGTTATATCGAGGACTTTTGTAACTGACTACTAGTATACGATTTGGGTTTTGCTCAATGTTGAAGGCCAGACAATGATCTATAGTTACTAAAATCCAAGTCGTTTTGGACTCTGTTGGATAGTTGTCTCATTGGCAATCATTAAACATCTCCTTATTTATTTGTATCTTTAAATCATAATTTATTTTTGTCAGAAACTACGGTCCGTTACTTTGTATTTTCAAAGGGATATATAGCAAAATGCATAAAAAGGTTATTTTCATAAAATCTTGAAAATTATCTTGGTTTTTGATATACTTTTATTTATTCATTGCACGTTAAGAATCATCGTAACTGCTAAGTTAATGCAGCAATAAATCACCTTTTTGTATTTTCAGTGTCTGTTTATGGTATTAAGCCTTCTTCTTTCGTGCTGAATATTTAGGATATTAAAATTAGTACACAGCAAAACTGCAGATATTATTTAATCAAGTGAGAACGAAACATCTTAGAACAACATAGAAGAAGGAATGAAAATAGAATACATTCTGATCCTAACTCATAATAAAAACCTATCGCTTTTTAAGTTCAGTGGTCATCGTTGTAATGTTAACACTCTACGATTGCTCATATGAAAAATGAAGTAATAATGTTCTGAAATTTAATACACCACAAACCAGCTGATATCATTAAATTATGTGAAAAAAAACAACCCAAAACTATGGAGAAGAGGGGAGTGTAAATTTAATTCATCCTGACCCTACTGCAAAATTGATAAACACAAAAACATGCGCTTTGGAAGAGTTAAACACTTTGTTCGCTGGTCAGGAATGTAATTATAATACTCTGCTTTTGCTCATATTTAAAAGAATTTAAAGATATTCTTAAAGATACAAAGAACTCGGGCTTCAGAATCTATGAAACATTTTGTGTTGGTGATGGACCCTAGACTACATTAACTGTTATCTTACCTACTCTTTTATAACTTCAAGTTTTTAGTCTATCTTATTGGCTTTCATAACATTGCTATATAAAAAAATAAAAATAAAAAAGGTACTTAGTAAATTAATTTCCTATTCTCTATGATAAATTAAATGTTCCTTGTTTTCAAATCTATAGATGTCAAAGTGGATATTTCTGGTGACTCTTTCGTTATTTGCATGGAACACAGTTGCTTGGATACACGACGGGTTAGACAGATCACATGATTTTGAGGAATGTTAAGGAGTACATGCTTCAAATATCAGTGGAAATCTACATTTGGCAGAAAATTCATTCGAGAAAAGATGCACAGATTTATTGATTCCTTTTGACTTATCTCATAAACGTATTGGCAATTTTACTGCGAAGGAGATAAATTATATTCGTAGCTTATTTAGGAAAATAAACAGCGAAGCTTATAAAATTCAACGATATAGAGTCAAAAGGCAAGTTCCTGTTGTCACAAACAGTCCAAATAATGTTTGGAGATATAGACAGGAAGTAAGAACCAATAATGGATATCATTTTAATGTATATGCAACCAGAGTCAGGCAACTAAAAGCGGTAAGTCTAAATTCGATGTATGTGAAACGGAATTGGAGAATTGAATGTCGTTAGTTCAAGCACAAAGAGAGAGGTACAATTGAAAAGGCTTAGTATTAATTTCCGTAATACATGCAAAAAGAGTTAGACAAGTTGATAGAAATCAGTAGCGTAAGCCTTCAACTCGATACTTTTATATAAATAAATATAATTTCGATAAATATGCAAATTCATTTAAAAATTAAAAAGAAAAAAGAAATGAAATATCGAATATGATACGTTCTTTAGTCCTTCAATGCTCTTCAACTTCGTACTTTATCTGACTTTTCACATTTTTTATTTGCTGACGAGTCTCTTGAAGACGAAACGCGCGTCTGGCATACAAAACTATAAGCCTAGTATCTTTGATGATTTGTATTAGCTGTTACTATGGTTCCTCGGCTGTTTCCCCTGTAACAAAATCACAGCCAACATCGTCCTCTAACCGGAAACGTTTTTGAAGTGATTTTATCAGAGTTTATCAAACTGCGTTATAACTTATACATAAGACTGTTTTACATATTACGTTTATTTGATACACCTGCAAGTATTTTAAAACATACTACATTTTAAAAAGTATAACATAGTAAAAGACGGTGCTATTTAAGCATTAGAATTGCCAAAAGCATTTTTAGTCCTGGTTTTGCCGAATAAATTGGGAAATCTTCCTGGTTTTGCTGAATAAATTGGAAAATCGTCTTAATAGATGCTCCATGATGATGTTTTGCACTTAGAATATTAGATCCTTATTGCATCTTTAAAATTATCCGAGAGTCTTATTGACAATTAATTTCGAGTGTAAACGTCATCAATTTGAGTTTAGTTCGTCTAGAGGCATGTATAGTGTAGTATATATTTCTCTGATACATCTTATAACATTCTTATGATACGGTTTGATATGTTTTCTGCAATAAACTTATGGTGTTATAATATTGAATCAAAAAACTTAATATTCCGGGTCCGAACACGTACCTTCTGCAATTTTTCAATGTTGCATTTAACTGAATTTTATATAGATGTTACTTTACATAAATCAGTCCTTTGGTTTTCTCTTTTGAACTGTTTCAAAATTTTGTCATGCCGGGGCCTTTTATAACTCACAACGATATGGGCTTTGCTCATTGTCGAATCCGTACAGTGCCCAAAACTCATAAGTCGACAATATCGAGCATGTCTCATGGTCATTCAAGTTTTTCTTTAACATATATATTTTCGTCTTGTTTTCACAGGAGCGGAAGTGAATGATGTTAAAGAAATGCTATTCAAATTTAATTTCATTCGTCATATAAATAGTTCTAAATGAGTCCAGCGTAAAATGTTCTTTTCTCTCACCTCAAGATAATTTGAGAGAGTAAATTGACATGTATAATGACATCAAATTAAAATATTACATTTTAATATTCGTATATTAATCAGTAGATCAAATACAAAATATTGTTTATTTTTTTTCAAATATTACCGTAAATTCTGCAATAGTACATTTTGATTTTATGCATTAGATATTTAACACATATTTGCCTTTCAATCATTTGCCGTGAGTGTAACTAATGACCATTGGTTTGAACAGCATATAGTTTATATTTATTGTTATACTTTCGATGGAAAGGAAACGATATTAAAATACTAGTTTGAAATAATAACACACGTGCGTCATGACTTCAAATGTTCAAATAAATAAACTTTCAGTTTTCCATTTACATTTTATAGACAGGTCAATATGATATCATAGCAAATATCAATAGAGTGACAGTATCCAAGGCTTACGTTGGCATCAATTTCCTTCCATGGCATCGACTTATACTGCTTGTGTAAGTAAAAAAAAATTAATGAAATAAATGGGGCCAACATTAGATTTTTTTCAAATAAAACCACAACTCAACTTTATTCATTTGATTGTTACATGCATGTATACACATTGTTATACACATTGTTATACACATTTTTTGTCCATCGTATGATTATTGTCCTTGATCAAACCAAAAAACAGGTTACATGTAGTCGTTTACATTGCAGTGTGTGTTCCTAAATATAGATAAATAAGGGCGTTTTTCTCAAGCAAAAGGTCAAATACACAGTTTTGTCTGTCGTGGAAAAGAAATAATTTAGAGTTTTATGTTCCAACAGCTTAATATAGTATCTCGAAAAACAACACACGTCGTTGATTTTCTTGAATTGTTTCATAATTGGTCATGTCGGGGCCTTTTATTGCTGCCTATTCTGTATGGGTTTGATCATTGTTGAAGACCTAACGGTGACCTATAGTTGCTTAAATCCACTTCATTTGGACTCTAGTGGATAGTTGTCTCATTGGTAATCACACAATTTATCTTTTTCTTTATGCATGTCATGTGTAGCATCTTTGAGTTGTTTTTTTTTTATTCTGTCGAACCTATATTCAGAAATCCGCATCAAACAAAATACGACAAAACGGAATAGATTTTTTTCAAATAGAATTTACAAATAATGATAATCGAAAATAGAAACATTTTTTGTTGCGATAGTATTTATTTTATTTAGCTGTAAATGTTCGTTTTCTGCAGATTAGAAACGGCTCTTGGTGTTCCTATTCCATACTACGATTCATCCTTAGACCATGAGATGGACGATCCGACCAATTCTTGTGTGTGGGAACCAAGATATTTCGGAGAAGGTATAGGTCCCGTAATTCAAGGCAAGTTTGCCAACTTTTTTACTCCCGCAGGACCACTGTTCAGAAAGATTAACGCCGGTGGTGTTCTAATATCTAGGAGAATGATAATCAAGCATGTATGGTCACAGAGATATCTAACCGAAATATCAACGCCAACTGCAAGATATAAATCAAACTTAGAAGGTCAAAGCAATAATGTCCATTACTGGATTAACGGTATTATAGCAAACTTGGCATTAAGTGCATACGATCCAATCTTCTTTTGCCATTATGCCTTTATCGATTATATATGGGATATATTTAGAAAAGTCCAAAGTTCAAAAGGTATAAACTCGGAAACAGATACTGGGAAACAGTATCCACCAGGCCAGAACCCAAGCGACTCGTCAGATTTAGATGGTCTTCTAAACTCCGAAGGATACAGTTTCAAGACGTCTAATTTGGTATCATACCGTGGATGGGCTCAGTGCCCTTCCTGTGACATTTCCGACGATGTATATTGTGATAAAGTCAGGTGGGTCTGTGTTTCCCGGCAAAAGCCTATTCCATCAGCAATTCCACAACAAATTGCTATCCATCAAACCGACAGACTAGCTAGTATATCCGCATTAAAGGATGGCAGATTCGGACCACCATTTACACCATTTGCTAACGATTCAAGAACAAGGGGAGATGCCGTGCAGGCCTCGCAAATGGAGAAGGATATGGATAAGAAAAATCAGAAATTTAGACTGTCTTAATGATGACACAAAAATAGTTGACTTTGACATTAAGTGTTTGGTTTTATTATACATTTGATTTTATAAGGGGAATGGATTTATGCTTGTCTTTTAAAATACTAAGTATCCATTTTTTTTAACAACAACAAATTAAAGTCATTTTCAATGTATTTACCTTTAATTGTTTTAAGCTAACAACAGAATCATTATCCGTTTCAATCCAAAAGGCTGACTTGGGTAAATATATATTTTCATACCTTGATTTCTTATATCAGGCAGTCAAACCAATGCAAAAGAGGTACGCCCGTATGTTGTCGGTATGTATAGATACCCAGCTAGGTCTGGTCAGAATGGAGAACTTACATCTCTCTCTCTCTCTCTCTCTCTCTCTCTCTCTCTCTCTCTCTCTCTCTCTCTCTCTCTCTCTCTTATACATAACTAATGAATTTATTGTTAATTTGTTCTCGCCCTGAATATGATTGAAATATTTGACACTGAACGTTAAGTGTTCAACAATCAATCAATCATTATTCTTTCTAACAGTTACACAATATATAAAACGTTTTACAACATATGGGCCTTTTATAATAAACTCATCTATTTGAGAAGAAGGCAAGTAAATACATATATAGATATGTGATATGAATATGTGAAGTAACAACTACACATCAGTGACAATGTGCTAAACAAACAAAAACTCATCATAGATACCTGACTTAAAAATTGTGAACGCTAGACGCGCATGTTTCGTCTTCAATAGACTCACCAGTGACGCTCGAATCTAAAAAAGTTTAAAAGGCCAAATAAAGTATGAAGTAGAAGAGCATTGATGACTAAATAATCAACCTACAGTTATACAAATGAGATGAGTAGATAATCATTCATGTACACTAAAACTACACTCAAAATACTATCTATATCGTGATAAGTGCTCCTTGTTCTATATCTACGAGGAGGTTATACCTCCCGATATGAAAGTGAATGTGAGAAGAGAGGAAAAGGAGTTTGCAACTGTCAAATGGTGATGTCGGAGAATTGAGATAAGAAAAAATTATAGGTGTCATAAGGTTTAAACGACAAAAATAAAATTATTTTAAAAAGTACTAAAATGTACTTTAAAGTAAAACTGTCTATAGACCTTTAACCCTTTTCTATTAAATTATCTTTTATTATATGGAATCGCTAATTTTAATCTATTGTAGTGTTCAATATAATTTTATATTAATGGTTTTGTATCCGGGAACGCCATAGCTGTCTTATGTGTCTTTTTTATTATAATAAGGTGTTTTTTTATTATACGAAGGTGCTTTTCTATTATACGAAGGTGCTTTTCTATTATACGAAGGTGGTTTTTTATTATACGAAGGTGGTTTTCTATTATACGATGGTGGTTTTCTATTATACGAAGGTGGTTTTCTATTATACGAAGGTGGTTTTCTATTATACGATGGTGGTTTTCTATTATACGATGGTGGTTTTCTATTATACGAAGGTGGTTTTCTATTATACGAAGGTTGTTTTCTATTATACGAAGTTGCTTTTCTATCATGTGGATGAGCTTTTCTATTATGTGGATGAGCTTTTCTATTATGTGGATGAGCTTTTCTATTATGTGGATGTGGTTCCCGTGATTAACCGGAAGTGTGGCGTGTCACATGATTTGAAAACAGGGACGGGTCAATTGCTAATAAAATATGGAAAAATCTTAAATCAAGAAAATCAATTAAGTCTTTAAAAGTTTTTATGGACTATTATATTTGAAATAAAACAATCAATTAATCATAATTGATAAGTGAATTATATCTATTATCAATATATCGGAATTCGTCCACCTGTTGACCCTGCATTGTTTTCGGCGATATATCCGGGTTGCACTAACGACAGGACGATTGCCCGGATTGGGACAGGATATATTGACCGGATGAGATATAAATAGTCAGAACTTTTCTGTTATTTGATAGATTATTTCAATATTTGAAGACCTTTGAGATACATAACTATATTTTATGAAAATCTAACAATAAAGTTGAAATGAACGACAAAAAGTGTCAATATAGCTTTTGTTTAACAACATTTTAAAATAAAACTAAGAAATCTGTTATGCGATATTAATCAATATAATTATTATATATGAAAATGTAAACTTTATAGTAACAAAAAATGTTTTTTGACCAAAAAAAAATGACCCAACAGTTTTCAAAATCGCCGAAAAAAAGCTTTTAATGTGTTGGACTGATCGACAAAAATTGTTACTATCTCGTTTGTTTAACAGTTAAAATTTCAACATGAAAAAAAAGAATCTGGGAGACATATGAATAAATTATACAAAAAAATGAACTTTATAGTAAAAAATTGTTTCTCTACTAGAAAAGTTGACCTGTGCGAATTATGCGACGAATTATATTGACATGATCGACAGAAAGTGTTCAAAATTTCTAAAATTTCAAAACATCTTTTTTTAAATTGAGATACATTTGAAATAAACTTATAAATTGTATGAAACAATAAGTCCTATCCGTTTAAACTTATATCTTTGATCCCAAAATGTTGACCTGATTGAGTTCACCGGCACAATTTAGAAGTACAGATATTTAATTGTAATTGTAATAAGTTTATTGCAAATCAGCATATAAAATAATGCTATAGCATCAACAACATATAAAATATAGTAAGCGACATCATATAAATGAAAACAGAAAGCAAAATAATAACAAAAAAAGACTCAAATTAAACAAATAGTACCATATAATCTACTTTATCAATTGTGACCGTAGTTGCCAGGAGAGCGTCTAAACACCACCTAGGCCGCCTTGGTGCACTAAGATCCTGAAACTGCACTAAGCCCATAATGGGATGGTGTTATGAATAAAACAAACATACTATCGGATGTAGTTTTTCCTCAAGATAACATATCTGAAATTTTTTGTCAGTACATTTTGTTGTTTTGTCGTAATATGATTTTTTCTGTCATCAAATGTTTTGTCCGACGGCACGTGCCAGTAATTAACAGGTAATAAAACCACTGATCCATGAAGAAATAAAGAAAGGTTATTATATAATAACGGTGTCTTCCTCAAATGCCAACATTTTATATAATACCTATACCTTAAAAAAATTTTAATAAGAGATAATGACAGATTTTGGGGTTAAAATTAGTATGAATTTTAAAGAGATAAAGAAAATCAAAACATTTTAAAATCTTTTAATAAAAAAAATTTGGAATGAAATTTTTATTCTGACACATAAGAAATTCGAAATATTAAAGACATTTAAGTTAAATATTATGTTCGGTGTGAGGCAAGGCTCCGTGTTGAAAACCGTACTTTGACCAATATTAAATGGTTTACTATTATAATTGTGACTTGCGACTTCGATGGAGATTTGTCCTATTGGTTTTCATACTACATCATCTTATTTGTATAAAAAGGCCCGAAAATAAGAGATTTTTTTAATTCCATATCATCATGATTAAGGCAGTGGCTATTTTGCCGACTCTGATTAAATTTTAGTTCGGTAAAATACAGGGAATTTGTTATTTTGCAGGTTCTTTGTAAACAGCTAACAACATTTGAAACACATATAATCGTTTAAAAACTGTTATCAGTCAAATTTACATTATGACAATATTTCGTTTAAGTTTTTAAACTTTTGGAACCAAAAAAAAACCAATGAATATACATAAAGATGACTAGACGGTATGGATTTTCTCGTCGTTTAAGGTCGTACTGCGACCTGTCATTGCTTAAATCTTCGTCATTTCAACTCTGGTGGATATTTACATTTCTCAATGGCAATCATATCATAACTCCCAAATTATATCATGTATATATGAAATATAGATTTAATTATAATTACATGTATCCCTTGTAGAATTACCAGCGATCTGTCATACTTGTTGATAACCCAAAGGACGCCACATTTTACACTCTTATAATTGAATTTAGTCTATTATATTTATAATTTTAAGTCTTGAAACAGTAAATTGAGAAGAATAAAAAGAAACAGAATACAATACACTTGGCTTCGTAAACAAGCCAATCTCCATTGTTTTTACTGTTATTTTCTCAAAATTTTATTTCCAACACTTTTTTCCCAAAAAAAAAATTCTAACAAAGCATCAAAGAAAAGATCAACAGTCCTTTTATCATTAATGATTATAAACAAAGAAGAATGAGTTACTGGTGAAAAGTTAATCCTTCAAGATTGATTAGATCAATTATCAAGGTATTCATACATT